TTTTACTTCAGGCAAAACAGAAATACAGAAATCTTTGCTATACAAAAATAAATCTTAACATGTACAAAATAAAATCGAAATGAAACCGGTAACGCATTCCTCCTGTTTTCGACGTGCATCCAACCACTATAACTCACTTCAAAACTTGACAAAAGTTGAAATTTTATCGTAAACTCGAAATATTTCCAAAACTTATACGAATATCGAAACTTGAGTGATTTACTGTACAACTTGAGAATATAAATGAGAGAGTTGGTGTACAGTCCGCCGCGCAGTTTACGAATTGCCAATTCCAATGAATATTACAACAGTTTTTGCCATGAATTGATGTAAACCATATTTTAACATTAATCGACATTTTGGTGTTGTTTTTACTGATAAAAATAAACTTTTAAATATGTATAGCTAATAAAACGTATTTGAATACTTCAAAATATCAGAACCACAACAGTTTTAACAATTAAGATCATTTATTATTTGATCAAGCCATTAAAATACTCCCTGATATTTTTTTTCAATCTCTTCAAGGAATTTACACGCCAAATATCCAAAGCATTATAAATCCATTAATTTTAGTTGAATGTTACGTATTGTCTGTCAATCACTCAGTAACGGAAGCGTTTCACCCACTCTGGCATATTGATTAAACTTGAAACCACACAACGCAATCATTCAAATTCAAAATCACTAAAATCAAAACTAGCTTCACAAATGCTAATGAAACCCGTCACAAACAATTGGACAAAATAACAATTAAACATACCTTCGAATAATCGCTCCCCTCATAAACGCTCACTAACTGACAGATGTCAACGCTGTCAGTTTTCCCGCCAATTTCACTGTCATGGCGGCGAGGTGTTTTCGTTGTATGATGATTTATTTACGTGAGAATAGTTTAATTTGCGCTATTTTGGGAAACGTTCATGATTTTTTAATGGTTTGTGAAGTGTTTTGATGCGGTAAGAAACTGCTAGGAAGCAATATCTTAAATATCAATAATCTTTTTATCTTATGATTAATAGATAATATAAAAGAATTGCAGTACATTTCCTTTTGTCATTACTTTGTAAACTTAATACATGTCCTATAATGTCAGTGTTTTTATTTACTATAAATCAATCAAAAAATTACTTTTATTACAAAAGCCATAAGGCCATAAGGAAAGAAGATACCTAAACGAAAGCAAAAACTATTAATGTTAAAAAATAAATACATTTCTGAGTAGTTAAGTGTCGGTGAAAAAATTATGTAGTTATTCGGATGTTTATTTTTAAACTTGCCTTCAACTCGGCAATATTTGTTAAAATATCACGCGGGAAAAAAGCTGTTAAGCTGTTTCGTTCTTTGATATAACCTGGATGGGGCGGCAGGGAGTGTTAGACTCTTCCTGACCGGCTCGTGGTACATTATTTCTTCAGCCGGGGTTGCGGGGTAAGCGCAATGAGGCACCGCGATCTCGGCCCAGAGCAGGAGAAAGAACTGGGGGGTTTTAGTCAGTACGAGTCTGACACTCCCTCTCGCCCGGCCCTGGGCGGGAGAAGTCATTTGATGATTTTCCCCTCACAAAAACAAAAAAAAACATTATTTATTGGACGCGGTACAGCGGTCTCGAGTCTTACTTCTTACTAATATTATAAATGCGAAAGTAACAACGTTTGGATGTTTGGATGTTTGTTACTCAATCACGCCAAAACTGGTGGACGGATCTGGATGAAATTTGGCACAGGAATAGGATACACTGCGGAATAGTACATAGGCTATACAGGCAGAGCCATATAAACCCACGTTACTTTTTATTCATGATGAAACACCGGTAGAAGCTAGTCAGACCTACTTCCAGAGTTTGTAATATTACGCGCAATTTCATAAACTTAGTTAATACCCTGTGGTCGCTAGCTGCAGTCACTAATACTAGTTAATAGTTGCTTTGGAACGGTTCAAAATATTGACAAAGACCCCTCATCAAAATAGAAACTGTAGTTATATTATTATATAGCTAAACCAACTAATTTCTATAAGCAATGTTGGTATATTGGTAGTAAATTGCTACCAATGTTGGTAGAAGTTACTGACGATTCGTTTTGTGCAATTTCTTTGTGTGATACACATATATGTAGTTATGTTTTGGGTCTGATTGTAAAAAGTATTAAAAATTGTTTTTGTTTTTTTTTTATTCAAAGATTTCAAATCCATCCAGGACACAGGAGACAACCTTACATCTTAAGGTCATTTAAATCCAAACTATCCAAACTAATATTAAAAATGCGAAAGTAACTCTGTCTGTCTTTTCTTATCGCCTAAACTACTGAACCGATTTCTAAAATTTGGTACAGACATAGTTTGGAACTCGAGAAAGGACATAGAATAATTTTTATACCAAAAATCTGTAGGAAGTCACTATTCCACGCTAACGGAGTCGCGGGCAAAAGCTAGTCTATACTAATATTATAAAGAGGTAAAACGTATTTGGTTTGCAACCGCTGGTCGGATTGCCAAAATTCTTTCACTAAAAGATAGCTAGAATGTTCTTGAATGCTATAATACATCACGCTACGATTAAATGGAGCCGAGTAGCAGGTGAAACCGCGTGAGAGTAGCTAGTAATACACAAAAGTTATACCAATATTTGTACCAACGTTGGTAGCAGATAAATCATTATTGGCGTAACGTCAGACAAGTTGTGATGAGGGCCTGACACATTTATTGCGATAGTGTTAACAAGAAATTAATAATAATCGTGGTGGTTTAATTAATTTAAGGTAGTCAATAGTTACCGGGAATTCAGATAATTTCTATCACAGCTGATAAAATTTAATTTGATAATAAGTAAATCTTCAACCTAATAACTTTGCAATTAAGTTCTAAATATAATAAAAAATTTTGACTGTATTTTTATTTAAGATAGAAGTTTTCTTTCATTATGAATTTTAAAAAATAGATGGCGCTAATCTCAATTATCGACTACTATTCTAGAAAGACCTAAATCCCATTTAAAATAGATTTTATCATAATAAAGTCACTTTTGTGGCGAAATAAATACGCGATACATAGCGAAAAAATAAAATAATATCCATCTAATATGGCGTATTTGTCAAATTTTCCCGCGCTAATTCCCAAACTGTCATGGCGTCGTCGCAATACCTGTCAAATGTGACGTGTTTATTTTATTAACACGGTGACGAGGGCAACGCTATGGAACTAAATAAAAGATATTATTATTTTTAAAGTAAGCACGGTTTATTTTTTATGGTTGCTGAAAATTTCTTCAAAAGAAGTCTAATAAAAATAATTAGGTGTTTATGTTACATATTTTTATCGGGATTTTTTAGTGAAGATGTCGTAAATGTGATGGGGAGGAAAGAGTTTTGTTGTCGCTTTATAACAAGCTATGTGGGTATTTTTTTTTATTGGAACCCATTTTATGTCGTGGCTTTGAGTTCCGCACGGAGCATACGTTGTTTGATCCACAAATAGTAGTTTTTGATCTGTGTATGTGCATTTATATGTTTGTAAAATATAAACGCACTGACACAGGAGAAAATCCTAATGTGAAGCACACTTTTTTATTAAAGAAAAAAAACTATGTGAATGTTTCACTCAGAGAGACATTTACTAATTTTGTTTTGAAATAATTTGCTAAAGACTGGGTTGACGAACCGTTAAATGATTCTAAAATGCTCATTGACTATAGACATAACATATTTTCTTTCCGTGGAAGAAAACATTGTTGAATTTTGCGAACATTTTTTTTTTGCTTTGATAAGATTTTTTTCAGAAACCCGATTGGTTAGAGGAAAGACATAATCCTTAATGAGGATATGTTGTACTGAAAAAAGAAAATATGTTATTATAATGATTTCTAGAAAATAGCATCATTGTTTTTTACATGGGACGAAATATTCTTCGCGATTTCATGACATGTTGGATTTTTGGTAAAAATATGAAACAAACGAACAGGCGCACAAGTCACGGGCGGCCCGTGACTTGTCGCCATTTTGGAGTTTTAAAGAGTAAGTAAAGTATTGTGTGGGGAGGGATGATGGGAAAGATTGGATGGACTCCAAGTTTCTTTGGGAAAGATGTTTGTTATCATGAGTATAATCACGAGTTTAATACCAGTCAAATTGTAGACATTTTTTACGTTAAAAAAATTATCAAAATTCAAAATTTTACTATTAATAGAGTATACCCATCATACACATTCTCTTCAAGATATTATTTAAATACAATCGTAAACTTTTTAAAACTAAACATAAATTATTTTCATAAACAAATAAAAATATGTCGGACGAAATACAATCGTAGACACAAAAACATTTAACGCAAAAATGCCATTGTCTACCTCTAAGACAAGTTAGATAATAACAATAAAAATGGCGTCTTCCAACGAAATGTTATTGATATAATTAACAGGACACAAACGGTTGCCACAGAAAATAAATAAAAAAGAAAACCAAGCTCACCAGTCTTTCATTCCCCTATTAGTCTCTGAAGTCAAGTAATTAATAGTGTTGCGATTTAGAATTATCGATATTAATCTGCCAGCACTTAACTTTGACAACATTCTGACAAACCTTGATACCAATGATACGGACGCTAAAGGCGTATGGTTTTTTTATGGGATAGGGTAGCAAGCGAACCGATAGATTATCTGATGGTAAGCAATTGGCGCTACCTATGGACCATTTGCAACACGAAAAGGGTTACTAATTGGTTGCTGATTTTTCGGGTGTTGTTAGGGATACGGGTTTAGGATAGAACATTACTCCTAAGGGTAAACATAAAGAGGGAACTATCCTCCTCGCGCCCCAGCCGCCGCATTAGGCTACATTCCGGGCGTCGAGGATCGAGAAACGATCTCCGGCCACCGTAAGCGCAGGTAGGTCTGCGGACGGCGAGTAAGGGTAGCTCGCCGCCTGACCAGAATCAGACCCGAGCATACGGCGCGTAGCATTCGTAAAGAGCCGATAGACCACCACAGACGGGGCCCTATAGGGCTGATGTTCAGCCGGGGTTGCAGGGTAAGCGCAATGAGGCACCTCGACTTCGGCCCAGAGCAGGAGAAGGAATGGGGGGGAGGGGGTTTAGTCAGTAAGACTGACGTGGTATCACTTGGTCGAACCTACCCATTCGTGCCGAAACATGGTTCTTAAGGATCATGCAACGCTCTACATTTTCTGCTTACTACTAAAGTGACGGTAAACAATGGCAATCTTATTTTCTTAATAATATACTCGTTACTTAAAGAGACAAGAGCACAGAGAACATACATACATACCTAAAGAGGCAAATTCGATTTTTAAATGCTTTTGACATTGCGGTTTTCAAAAATGATGTGCTATATTTTTATCTTAACCACAAATCAAAATTATTATTTTATATTCGTATTACAAAATAAATACTTTATGCGAATAGATTTCAACCGATAAGGTAAAATATTATTAATGTAAAACACGTTCAAAATAAATTTAAAGCAATAAAATATTAAAGCAATTTCCACAAAATACTGACATCCCAACCAATAATTTGTTTGAACGAACCACTTTGAACACAATTTGAATCGGTTTTCTTTGAAAATCATTGGAAAATCAAGCCAATAATTTCAGTATTATTCAATGCACAAACTTTCCAATGCTTGCCAAAACACAATTATCATCGTTTGCAATCTTCTCATAAAACTGCAAACAACCTTATCATTCCAAACATTTCATTTTAACAAACTTCACGCGACTTGAAAGGACGTCGAGGTGCAACCAAATTATCGATAACCGCAACTTGGGAGCGGACTTCATCGATAACTGTGTATCGACATTTTCCCAGCACTAGACGATAGATAAGCATCGGTTGCACAAAGTTAATTAAAAGTCGCTCTGTTTTAAATTAATTAGAAATGATACAGAGAACTTAAGTGTTTAACTTGAGATACTAAGCACTGAACTGAACTAGCTTGTTTTTAAAAGCCTTTATTTTGTGTCAGTTAATGAAAAATATTTTTTCTTCTAAACACAGTAGTTTGCAGTTTTCCTTTTAACTATTTATACTTTGAAACTTTAATATATTTATTTTGTCAATTTTGTAGATATATCGTCTCTAATTCTCTCATCACCATCATCATCATCATCAGCCTATAAGTGCCCACTGCTGAGCAAAGACCTCTTCTCACACGGAGAAAGGTTTGAGCATTAATCACCACGCTGGCTCAATGCGGGTTGGCGATTTGAAACTTATAATTAGAAATTATAAGTCCAGGTTTCCTCACGATGTTTACCTTCACCGTATGTCAGAGATGTCTCTAATTCTCTAAAGGTTTATATCTCTGGACTGTTCAAATTATTGGTGTGATTAAACTTTTCATCAAGGTTTTTTTTTATGGTATAAGTCGGCAAACGAGCAGACGGATTACCTGATGGTAAGCAATTGGCGCCGCCCATGGACACCCGCAACACCAAAGAAGTAACGAGTGCGTTGCCGGCCTTTTGGGGATGGGCGTTGCGGATATAAGGATTGGGAAGGGATAGGGGAAGAGGAGGGATTGGGCCTCCGGTAACCTCACTCACAACGGTGAAACACAACGCTGTGGGTTGTTTCACGCCGGTACTCTGTGAGGCCGTGGTATCACTCCGGTCGAGCCGACCCATTCGTGCCGAAGCTTGGCTCTCCCACACTTGAAGGAAGGTTTAGAAATTAGAACAGTGTTAGGAAAATGATGACTCTCTTTAGCGATATTCCTAATAATACAATTATAGCTTAAAACCTATTTATTAGTATTAGGTATATATTCACCGAGTGAGAAGCGACCTTTCAATATACCTAATTGTTTTTACTCTATTCATACTGTAACTGAACGTTTGTGTTTGTTTGACTGCACGGTTGGCGCGGTGGCTGGGCAACTGGCTGCCGCGCAACGTGTCGCGGATTCGATTCCCGCACGGAACAACTCTTTGTGTGATCCACAGATTGTTGTTCCGGGTCTGGGTGTGATGTGCATGTGCAATTGTATGTTTGTAAATGCATCCACGACACTGGAGAAAATCCTAATGTGGGGCAACGTTTTTTTAATAAAAAAAAACTAACGTAGATTCGAAGAAACGCCACGACATCATTGTAATCACTGCACCAAAAAGATAATCTCCGCAATTATAATAATACAAATTAATAAAACATATTTACTCCGAATTTAATAATATTAATACAATTGTAAATACTATATTATTATTTTGGTTTTAACATTTTACCTTATCATACAATTAAACAAAAGACAATTTATTATTACAATTAAAGAAAATTAAAATTAAAATAATAAATTACATTAAACCTTATAAATTAATATGTTACCGTGAAATAATTTAATTTTATTAATGAATCCTTAATTTGTGGATGACCACATTTTTATACCTATGTGTTACTTTTACATTCTTCCTGTAAAATGATTTATTTTAATCGTACAATTTAAATTGTAGTTATACCACGGCCTTGCAGAAAACCGACGTAAGACGACGCTTGCGTTGTTTCGCTGTATGATTAACTCCTATCATATTACCTATATGAAAATCAATTTATCCCCAATCGCTAAATCTCCACAACCCTTATCCCCAAACTATCGGCAACGCACTCGTATTTCCTTCATTGTTGCGGGTGTCGATGGGCGGCGCCGATCGCTTCCCATCAAATAAATTAAATCAGATAGCTGGTTTGTCGTCCTATCAAATAAAATAAATTTTCTATCTATATATCTATCAATTAGTTACGCAAATGTAACCATAGAAAATGTAATTATTATTACAAACGTAACAAACTATTTTAATTACAAATAACATCGATACGAGTAAATTGTAATATCAATATCGAAATATCTAAATGTAAAACGGATACCTACTATTAATGAACTTCTCAGAACAGAATTGCATTTGATTATTTCAATCGATTATTCTGCATACAATAACTGTTTGAGCGTTTAATTCGAGAACTGATACAATTTTCAATTTATTTCGTATTGCAAACTGCGGTTGTGACAGTATGAGAACAGAGAATCGCCAGACGAAATATATTTTAACATTTACTATCACCGTAGTATAAAGAGAAGGCAGTAGGCTATCTCCGGCCCAGTCCGCGAGATAATTGCCTACTGTCTTAGGGTTGTCACTTTTAGCAAAATTTTAATTCAGTGCCTATAAATTGGCAAGGGTCGGGAAGTTGTATTTTTTACTTGAATTGTCTGGGTACAGGGTTTGTAAATAAGTAAGTAGGTATCTCAAAATCAAGTAATAAATATAAGCTAGAATGAGTGACTATACCTTTCTTGTTCAATAGGTAATCTAAACAGAGACCATTTTGGAATCGATGAATTGTTAAGACATTCAAACACACAGCAATACGTTCTCCTGCGATTATCAGACATTTTGTTTTGATTTAGCGGTGCTGAAAAACAGTGACGCGCGAACCTCGTCCAGTGTTAGCCCCGACTGTCGCACTGAGAAACGGGACGAGATTTTGCTACAGTGTGCGTGCGTCGACGCGTAGATACTATGGCGCACACATACAAACTGCTCGCGGTGCGTTTGTATGAAGATAACCTACTTTCCTTCTCTTTATACTATGCCATCACCAGCAGTTAAATCCCTACTACCAAGTTTTTTGATTAATATTTCATACTTAATGTTTTGATAAAAAGTCTGATATGGTGATCATAGTAGTAGTCTCTTTTGTAAACGTTCCAAAGACGGTAGGTGTTTTTTGTTTATGTTATAATAGGACGGCGATCTAGCAAAAGGCTTCACTGACGGTAAGCAATCTGCGCCGACCGTTGACAACCACACTACCAAAGGAGTTACAAGTGCGTTGCAGGAATTTTAGGGATAAGGATTTTTGACTGCACGGTCGACGCGGTGATTGGGCAACTGGCTGCCGCGCAACGTGTCGCGGGTTCGATTCCCGCACGGAACAACTCTTTGTGTATCCACAGATTGTTGATCCGGGTCTGGGTGTGATGTGCATGTGAAATTGTATGTTTGTAAACGCACCCACGACACAGGAGAAAATCCTAATGTGGGGTAAAGTTTTTTTTTTAATAAAAATTGGTTTGGATTGGATTGGGTCTCCGATAATCTTACTCACGTGGCGAAATATAACGTTGTAGTTGTTTCACGCCAGTTTTCTGTGAGGCCGTGGTATCACTCCGATCGAGCCGACACATTCATGCCAAAGTTTGGCTCTCTCACACTTGTGTCTGTGTATGTGTGTGTAGTTATTTAAATTGCTTACGCGTGGTTTCACAATTTCTATGTGTTTGATAAATTCGATAATTTCGCAGTTCGAGTTGTTCGGCTGGTTGAACGATTATGTATAGCGGTTTTAATTCTAATACATCAACAAATTGAACATGTAACAGATATCCAAATTCTATCTGAAACAAATAAATTTACCACTTCAATTAATTATAATGTTTAATTGCTTACTCTCGTAACTTGGTTGGCGCGGTGGCTGGGCGACTGGCTGCCAAGCAAAGTGTCGCGGTTTCGATTCCCGCACGGAACAGGACGTCGATTCTATAAAATTTGTTTGATTTTGAATCTTGTTCGAGTGCGAAGTGAGAGAAGAGAGTTTTAGAATGCCACTTTTAACGTCATCTCATACTTTATCACAGAGTAGGGAACGATTTAAAACAATTATTTCACGCCAGTTTCTTTAAACGTCGTGGTATCACTATCCATGAGAAAGCATGGCGCTCTCACGTGAAAATGTAGCAGGAATAAAATAATAACATTAAACATTTTTAACCCATAAAACATCAGCAACAGCTAGCGATATTGTAAGAGCAGAAATTTCCAATATACATAAATGTATTGACCTGATTTCCAAACAAAAGCTTCAGTAATGAACAGGAGACCTTACCTACTTATAAGTATAGTTACACACAACATTCCATATAACACAATCAGAGCTTTACGTAATACCTTTTTTTGTAATTAATGTATGACGGCTTATATTTTTTCCTGCTTCTGTTAACTGCTAGTATGTTTTGTGAAATGGGGCGGTAAACTTTTAACTGCACGGTTGGCGCATTGGCTGGGCAAGTTGGATGTCGCGTAACGTGTCGCGAGTTCGATTCTCGCTCGGAACAACTCTTTGTGTGATCCACAAATTGTGTTGTTGTTCCGGGTCTAAGTATGATATTGATGTTTGTATAGACAAGCCAGAAGCAGCTTTGAGAACAGGTCATTCGCATTCGTAATTCCTTAGCTACCAATAGGCCGTCAGTATAGTTATAGCTCTTTTGGTGTTCCGGGTCTCCATGGACAACACAATAGGTCTGTTTTTCCGAAAAAATCTGCAGACAACTGACCCAGTAGCCATACTTGATCGACAAGTTAATCAAAGAAACAGTAAAATTTAGTATAAGAACATATTTGAACTTATAAAACCAATAAAATGCTCACAAATATTTTTTTTATGGTATACGTCGGCAAACGAGCACACGGATTACCTGATGGTAAGCAATCGGCGCCGCCCATGGACTCCCGCAACAATATACATTGGGAAGGAATTAGATGAGGGGTAGGATAGGGCCTTCGGTAACCTCACTCACACGGCGATACACAACGCTGTGGTTGTTTCACGCCGGTTTTCTGTGAGGACGTGGTATCACTCCGGTCGAGCCAACCCATTCGTGCCGAAGATTGGCTCACCCACACTCCTACATTCATACATTTTACAATACACCTAATATTCATTTTGTTTAGATAATTTAAGAGAAATAGTTAAGCTATTTGACACAAGATAATAATAAATAATAAATAATAAATAAAATTTATTGAAGAACACATAATCTAGAATATACAGTTTTGCTTAAAGCTATACCAAGTTCATAATATTGGGTGCCTGAACTAGGACAACCTGTGTTTCAGGCGAAAATGGGTAAAAAGATATTATACATTGTTAAATAATCATAAGTACATAAGTGTTTTTAAATTAAGGGAATAATGCTACTATTTATATTAAAAATAACAGGATAAACGATACTTAAATTCAATATCTATATCTAATTAAATAAAAATTAAACCATAAATAAAAATTAAAACCTTTGATACAGTTATTTAGGAACTAATAATAACTTCTCTGTGTCTTCATAGGACATGTCTTGAAGTGCTTCGATGAGGATTTTTTTACAGGTATGGAGATTGTAGGAGTAAAAGGATAAAGTCGCATTCAGTTTGTTGTATAGGAAAGGTCCGAGGAATACAAAAAAATTTGTTATAAAAGTGTGTTTTGTACTTTTTGCTGGGCAAACGATATCTTTCCTTCTTCTAGTAATTAATTCGGGATTGTAGGGAAGGGTTGAGTCAAGGTAATAATATCTACAAGTATTTCAACTTCATAGAAACGGCCGAAACGCGAACTATACCTACGCGCCCGATGTCGGGACGCGCTCGGGACGCAGACAGACGCGGCTGTACCGCAGTGACGAACGGACGGTGTGTTGTCTTTTATTTAGAAATCAGCTCGAGTACATTATTTAATATGACGAATAGGAAATATTGTGTTGTTATTATGTTTGGTTGCATGAATTCGTATATTCATATATTTCATATTATTCAATAACGCATCCAGACATAAGTTTTTTTTAAATTACCTGGAAACTCTGAAAGGTAAGACTATAAAATAATTTTACTTAGACAGACATTATGTACTTACCTAGGCTCTAGTAGCCTAGTGTGTCTTTATGGATCATTATTTCCAGTTATCTCACGAAAACAGATGTTTGAATTTATAAATAATATGAATAAAGTTATTGAGACGAGTGAAATAGGTAGTTATAGGCGGTTCTGGTTCTGAATGAATCACGATACGTTAGGTACCTACCTACTTACGCTTGTGTTAAAACGGTTCATGTATGTTTTGTTAGTTTGTATAATTCAAAGTAGAGAGTGTGGTATTTTATTATTAATAATATTTGTTTATTATCTGCGTTTATGAATAAAACTAGAAAATATTTAATAACAACAATAAAACAGCTAGACTCATGTAATATTTTGATGTTTGAGGGTTGTGATTTTAGAACATTCGTAGTCAGCTGTTCAGTTCGGCATTAGTGGCCAAAGAAATTTTGTTTGTTTATTTTTAAAGCATATTTGTTTATATAAAAAAAGGATATTTACAATCACAAAACTAAATGGAAACAGAAAGTAGACAAAGGTAATTAAAATACTGGAGACGAGCAGCCCTAACGCATGTTTACGTACCGCGCGGCTGTAGGTATTTATTTCTTTCAAGCGGCCGAGTTAAAATACTGTATGATATTTATACTGTGGTTGAGTGTTGTTTAAGTATAGTGGTCATTATAAATAACTGGCGAACTGTTAGTACATTACAAGATTTGTAAAGAAGATTAGTAGGGTAGAGGAAAGAGCGTCCAGTAGATACCTTGAGGACAGCTCTTTGAGCTCTTTCGGTAGATAACAATAGAGTCTTGTCTGTACCACCCCAAGAAGTGATACAGTAGGTCAATATTGATTGGCATAGGGCGAAGTAAACCTGTCTGATTATTTTCGGATCAGCAACATAGCGTAGCTTTTTGAAAATAAATATAAGCTTACGCAGTCTAGTATTTAATACATCCAGATGCCGTTTAAAAGAGAGAGTTTCGTCCAATATAATGCCGAGGTATTTAACATGTGTGGCCCGGTTAATGATAGGGCACAAGCATTGGTTGGGAATGTTACAATAATGGGCATGCAATGGTGAGACAATACTTGATTTTTCTTTTCGTATTGAAAATTTGACTTTCGTATTGAAAAGATAGTCTACCCTATTAACATATACACACGAATAACTTGCCAAAACACCACTAGATGGCGCTAACCTTCAATTCATTATTCCACAATGGCAGCCTCGATTATTTTTCGTAGTGAGTGATAAATAGCGTACATATGTTTGAAAAGGCCATTACCTCGGACCCTTGGGTTCAAATTAACGGCCATTTTGTTTCTATTCCATGCACAGGCCTATTTTGGACCTTTGTATGAAATAAGAACGTCTGTTATAATTATGTTTTCTTTATTACGGCTATTCGAAATGTTTTTGTTTTCTTTATGTGATGTTGTATGGGATAGGGATGGAAATGTGGGTCTGAATTGTTTGCTATAACTTGTAAAATGTTATTTTGTATTTGGGTATTTTTGAGTAAGTTTACAGTAAACATTTATGTTTTTAGTAGGATAACAACACTACCAATATTATATGAACTTGCAATACATTTTAGCAAAAGATAAACTAGTATTTTTATACAATAATTTCAAAATGACAAATAGTTTATTACATATTTAATTGACTTTATAAAACCAAAAACGCAATCAATAAAGCGCTCCGTTAATTAAAAAAGAAATCTTTATGGAAAATTGTGTATTTCGATTTTTTTACAAGTAACCTATCGGAATTTCCAAATTTTGTTAAGGGAACTTTCTACGAAGCATAGAGATCTTACATAAGGTCAATTTAAACAGTTCGTAGATAGATAATTTGCAACGTCTTTTATCTTTCAAAGTCCAGACACTACGCCCTTATCTACATAATTATATTCATATTATAAAGAGGTAAAATTTGTAAGTTTGTATATAGGGTGTAATCTTTAGAACCGCTGATCGGATTGCCAAAATTATTTCACTGATAGATAGCTACAATATTCCTGAGTGCTATAGGCTATGAACCATCACGCTACGATCAAATAGAGCCTAGCAGCGAGTGAAACTGCGCGAGAGTAGCTAGACTAAGTATAGAGATCCTTACATTAACAATATTCTTTCTTTGTTCACAGTAAAACCGAAATCAGTGGAAGTAATGACTGGTGATGGGAAAGTGTTAGCAGACTCAGCGATCTATGGCCCTCTACTGGAGAGGGCTAAGGTCAACATCAGCTGTACTGTGAAGGAGGGAAAACCTCAGCCGAAGGTCGTGTGGTACTTCAGGAAGAGTCGAGGAGATGAAATGAGGGAACTCAATGGTAAGTCATATTTAACTATTATGTTACAGCAATTTTTTAATGGGCCAGGTCCAGCAAACGATTAGCCGGGGTTAAGCGCAATGAGGCACCGCAGCCAGAGCCTAGAGAAGAAGGGACGGGAGGGTTTCTAGTCAGTAAGAGTCTGACACTCTCTCTCGCCTCACCCTGGGCGGGAAAAGTCATATAATGATTTTTCCCCTGACAAAAAAAGGTCCAACAAACGAGGACGGTAAGTAATCGGCGCCACCTATGGACACCACCTACTCCATAGGAGTAAGATGTGAGTGGCCAGCCTTTAATGGGTTAGAGATGTGAGGATTGTGGATTTGGAAATTAGTGATGGAGTATGGAAAGGATCGGACTTCCGATAACCTCACTCACACGGCAAAATATTTACATCGCAAGTAAATTGTTTTTCGTTACTCTGTGAAGTCGTGATTTTTCAAGGTCATAGGATTTTTGGTTTTTTTTTTATGGTGAGCAATCGGCCCACCCATAGACACACAACACTAGAGGACTTGCAAGGCTTTTAGAGGTCAGAGAAATCTACGCCTGATACAAGCAAACTGGCTTAATATCAAAAATGAACTCACTGTTTACGTATGTGTATTTGCCGTTCGAAGGATAATAGTCTATGGCTTTTGATTTATTTCAATTTACTAATAAGTCAACCTATTAAAGGGAAAAGGTACATCATTATTTTATTATTAAAATAAACAGCTCTCGCTTGCGATTTCAGCCGCGTTCTATGTTGATTAGAAGCAGCCTCTGTTCATGGTACCTATCTGCATACCAAATTTCAACTAAGTCTGTCCAGGCGTTTTTAAGAAAATAATAATATTATTATATACATCTACCTATATATTCTGATAAACTTTTACATTTATATTAATAGGATAGTATAAAAATAGTCTAATTAATAAATTGATCAGTGACTATGCCAATTAAAACCTGAATAAAATCAAAAACCTTTCATCAGACCTTGTTCCAACAGCCGACATTCTAAAATCATCGCAAAATTACTAAAATCTATATACGTAATATAAATTTAACTACTCCATAAATTAATCTAATTCAGTTCCTGAAGCTAAATTAGGTTGAAATTGAAGCTTTCAGTTTAGATTTGTGGTTGGTCGCTAGGTATTAAATCAAAACGTTTCCGGGCCGATTCAGGTGGTTTTGACCGGTCGACGGACCGGATAGATTTGTTGCGGTTTTCAATCTGCACAGGTAAATAGGATCGCGGTTGTATTTATGTACTAATGGCCCTTTTGATATGGTTTCTGTGATTACTTCGATGTACGTTCGTATATTTGATAATGTTCGAATATATGAATTAAAGTCATGGCACACTCATTTGAATTAACTGAAAACAGCTCAACTAGTTTCAGAGTTATTAGTCCACCATAGACAGGGCCAAGAGACGATTTCCAGCCTCCGTAAGCGCGGCTCTGCGGACGGCGAGTAAGGGTAGCTCGCCGCCCGACCAGAACCAGACCCGAGCGTATACGGCGCGTAGCGTTCCGCGCGCGCCTCAAAGAGCCAATAGACCACCACAGACGAAACCCTACAGGGCTGATGTTCAGCCGGGGTTGCGGGGTAAGCGCAATGAGGTACCGCGACCTCGGCCCAGAGCAGGAGAAGGAACGAGGGGATTTTTAGTCAGTAAGAGTCTGACACTCCTTCCCGCCCGACCCTGTTCGGGAGAAGTCATTTGATGATTTTCTCTTCATAAAAATAAGCCAAAGATAGAGCCCAACAGGGTTAATATTCAGCTGGAGTTGCGGAGCAAGCGCCATCAGCCTGGACCAATAAAAAGAACGAGGTGGTTTATAGTCAGATAGAGTCTGACACCCACACTAAAGACTGCTTGACTATTAATACAACAGAGGTGTTTACTCAAATAAGTCGACTGTTGGTCTAACGTACTCGGATTTGTCTACTTAACGATGTCCATCTAACTTGTAGGGCTGTTTTTATATACGGTAATGTATTCATGTGTGCCGCTCTTGTAATGTTCGTGGAATTTGAAGTTACTGCAGTTATGAGTAGACCAACAGTGATGTGCCATTGAAGATCAGTATTTTTGCGACACCCCAGTAATAGGTATACGTGTTGTTTCAAATCATAACCTTTGTCGTGCCAAATTATATTTAGATCCTTTTAGTAGTTTTAGCTTAAGTATCAGCTCAAAGGCTGTTTTTAAAGTTAAATATTTCAATCCTTTGTTTTTATACAGTCTTTTGTCATGAAGACTTTTAAAGTTATTCAAACTTCCCCTTGAGTTGAACATTGACCTTTTTTGCACATCTGCCAGAACGACAAGGCAAACACTGGCTAAATATTTTTTTCAATAATAATGTTAGATTTATTTAACTTCCGTTTTATATTGATTATTAATATTGTCCCAACTGTAGTGATATTATTAAAATACATACGAAAACATAGTTCAGAAATGCAATAAGTCCTACGACAATAATGTTATACTGTTATACTATATGACATGTGGAGGCTTGTTGTTAGCAATATTCAAAACATTTTTGTTTACTCACATTATATTAGTATATTAGTCTGTAAGCCTTAACAGACTTATGTCTGTAAGCCTTCTTTAAAATTAATAAAAAAATATATTAATTATTAAAATAACATTAATTATAAAAAAATAAAATAAAATAATAATAATAAAAAAACAGTATATTACTCTGTAAGCCTTCTTTAAAATTAATAAAAAAATTATATTAATTATTAAAATAATATTAACTATAGAAAAAAATAAAATAAAAAAATAATAAAAAAAAACGTTATTGCTGTAATGCCTCTTAAATCCAAAAAGAAATATATCTTTTATCTATGTTAGTGTAACGCCAGAAATGCCGTCTTTTGTGAATGTATAGAAAAATCGAGAAAATAAAGAAAGAAGGAACAATCTCTATACAAAATCCTACAAAAGTGCAAGACCTCACTTCCTATCGTTTGTATTCAAATCCAGTACAGGTATAACCACAAACGTTTTAAACGCTAGTCGGCAGCGGATTCGATTCCCGTGCCACATTTATTTATTGTTTGGGCAGCGACTCTGAATGTAAAACAGTATTGATTATTTTGTACTGGGTTTGTATAGGCTTGATTTTTGAAATATGGTTGTATGGGTTTCGGCTTCCAGATTTGTAATGTGATTAAGATTTTGAAATAGTGTACCAATCACTGGCTTATAAGCTGTTAAAAGCTTGTTACTGACATGATAATTTTTCTGTTAAAACTTTAGGGAGAAATATTTATTATTATTTTTTTATGTTATGGGTCGACAAACGAGCATACGGATTACCTGATGGTAAGCAATCAGCGCCGCCCATGGACACGCGCAATGGAGGAGTCACGAGTGCGTTGCCGACCTTTTAGGGATAAGCGATTTGGAGATTGAGGTAACCTCACTCACACGGCGAAACACAACGCTGTGGTTATTTCACGCCGGTTTTCTGTGAGGCCGTGGTATCACTCCGGTCGAGCCGACCCATTCGTGCTGAAGCATGGCTCTCCCACAGTTAGCATGGCCCTCCCACACAAATAATTAATAACTTTGCACATTGGTGATTAAGATAAACTTATAGTTTTAAATAATAAATCTAGTCTCACGATATTTTTCTTCACCTTATCTCATTGATGTCTAAACCTAAAACCTAGGAAAGTACTGACTCGGTCACATGCCAAATTTCGAAGCAACTACCTCTCGCGGGGAAGCGGTCGCCTTAACTTCAGAGAAACCCATATGTAAGCTACAATTTTACTTTCAAATATACTCCATCCAATTTCCAATCCATATAATACGGTAGTTTCCAACTAGTCAAATTCAATACTTTTAACCAAATGTCAAAAACGATACTTTTCTATGAAATTTGTATAAAAAACTGAGTTACGACGTCATAGTATTTTTGCGTCAAATAGCTTGCTTATTCCTTAATAATTAGCTACAAAATATCTAAAACTTAGTATATCGATCGATCGATGAATAAAGTACTATATAATTATGAATATAGTTACTTTTCAATATTTTATTCTGTTGAAACGTCGAATTAATTTATTTTTGACCTATGAAACTACCCAATTGATAAAACAAAATCCAATTACCTATTTCCAAAACAAATATCGAAGGAAAAAACCCACAACGTGACAATCCGATCTGTTCTCCGGACATTTGAAGTGAAATAAATTTATTCTCCGAACCGCATTGGACCGGTCCAAATGAAATGACCAAGCTTATAGAATCTTGGATTAAAATATTTCACGATCGGTTCCGAATCGAATGGACCTGGCGTTTGTGACAGATGAATTTTTCCAGCATGAAGGAATCAAAGGCTAGTTAGTGGAGAAAGAATTGATTTTGGATTTGATTTGGACGTTGCAAGTGTGTTCGACTGCAAATTCTATTGAGATAGTTTTGTAAATTCATGGTCATTTGGTGGTATAAGTTTTACAAACGAGCAGCCCGATTACCTGATGGTAAGCAATCAGCGCCGCCCGCCATACTCGCAACGCTAATGGAGTAACGAGTACGTTGCTGGCCTCTTTAATCCTTCCCCTCCCGAAAACCCTCATGAATCCCAAAAATTCCAGAATCCTAATCTAAACAAGTCATCAACGCACACGTAGCTCCTTTGGTTTTATAGCTTTCTATAGGTGACGCCGACTGCAGGCCATCGGGTCTGTCTGCTCGTTAGCTGACCTATGATATAGGAAAAAAACCAGCCGACCATACAAGGGCAAGGCAGATAAATGTTCTTCGTACGCTGTCTACCCAAAGGAACTCGTCAAAATCTAGATGATACCATCAAAGATGAGAAACGAACACAATATGCTCCACTTCAGAATTCCGCAGCTATCTCTTGAACCATTTGTATGCAGAACCCGGCGGCGAGTGATAAATTACACAGCTTGGCACGTGAGCTCTATGATGCATTCATATCGAGGTTTTAGGGATCCCTTGTAAATTGGTTCAAGTTTTTTTTTATATCATAACTAATTTATTATTAATATAATAAAAATAAATGTCAAATCACAAAAAATTACGAACTTACATCTTTCACGTAAAAGCGGATTTGAAACAAATTTGACACAGGCTACTTTTTACTTACACGTTGCGGGTTTAATTGCCATTGTGTACTGCAGCCCCGGCTTAGAGAAGGAGAAGGAACGAAATGGTTTTTAGGCAAAAAGAGTGTGACACTACTTCTCGTCCCACCAAAAGCGGGAGAAGACATTTGAATTGGTATGGTCAGATGATTGTCCCCCTTGAAAAAAGTCGCACGGCGAAACAAAACGTTGTGATTTTTTCATGACGGTTTTCTGTAAAGCCGTGGTATCACTCCGGTAGAGTCGGCCCATTCATGCCGAAACATGGCTATCCCACCCTATAAAAAACATGGCATTGATCTACCCATTCAAATATTAATTAAATTGAAAATTATTTATTAGGTACGGGACCACTTCACCGAGCTCACGCTTGGCAATCCAATGAAAATGTATCTTATCCACTTCGTTTATATGATTACCAGGGAATTTGATACATTGATGCAAATCATTTTGAATGCTAGGACTTGATGTTATTTACATATTAATGTATAATTTGTCATTTAATTCTATGATTTTTGAGAGTCTTTGAGCTCAGTATTGAGCCATTTTTTGTCAGGGGATAATCATCAAATGACTACTCCCGCCCAGGGTAAGGCGAGAGAGAGAGTCAGACTTTTCCTGACTAAAACCCCCCTGTTCCTTTTTCTGCTCTGGGCTGAGGCCGCGGTGACTCATTGCGCTTAACTCGCAACCCCGGCTGAGCATCAGCCCTATAGGGCCCTGTCTGTGGTGGTCTATTGGCTAATTGAAGCGCGCGCGCAACGCTACGCGCCGTTTGCTCGGGTCTGGTTCTGGTCGAACGGCGAGCTACCCTTACTCACCGTCGCAGACTGCCGGGCCGGAGATCATCTCTCGATCTCAGTTTTCAGTCTGGATAACCATATTTGATATAAAGGTTTCAATTAAAGAGATCATATTAAATTATGACATGTTTATCTATTCATCATCAACATCATCATCAGCCTATAAGTTGCCACTGCTAAGCTTAAGCCTCTTCTCACACGCTTTGAGTATTCATCACACTTGCTTAAGGCAGATTAACGATTTCAAACTTATCAAGTCCAGATATCCTCACGTTATTTTCATTCGCTGTTTATCAGTGGTGGCTAAATAAACTTTAAGAGTACCTGACGCTCATAAATAAACACATACCTACTTGTCAGGTTTCGAATCTGTCCACTCATACATGAGAAATGACCGTCTTAACCTTCAGGCCACCGCAACAACTATGGAAATAGCGTACTTATTGCTAGACCCATAAAGAATTATTTTTGCTATTAAACTTATTGTAATAAGGCTCAATACAGACTTTATGATATGGCTAATTAAGAGTATTAAAAACTCCACGATTCTAATCTAGCCTTACATAGGTCTGCGTGGTCATAGCTAAGAAAAACGGTTCAACAAAATAAATATCTTCGAGTTTGAATTTTAATCTTCTATTTTTGTGAATATCACACACATCATCATCATCATCATTATCAGCCCATAAGTGCCCACTGCTGAGCAAAGGCCTCTTCTCACACGGAGAAGGTTTGAGCATTAATCACCACGCTTACTCAATGCGGCTTGGCAATGTCAAACTTATAATTAGAGATTATAAGTCCAGGTTTCCTCACTATGTTTACCTTCACCGTATGTCAGTGGTGTCTAAATAATAATAGAAAGTACATATACCTAACTCGGAAAAAGTCACATTGGTAATTGCCAGGTTTCGAACCCACGCCCTCATGCATGAGAAGCTGGCTCCTTAACCTCTGGGCCACCACGACACATCACTGTTGTGAACAAAACAGCCCTTATTTTCACTAATGCAACTGCATGTTCTGTATCGTGAGTGCGTTTACAAACATACGATTTCACATACACTTCACACTTGGAATAACAATTTGTGGATCACACAAAGTGTTATTCCGAACGGCAATCGAACCTACGATGTGTTGCGTAGCAGACAGTGGCCTTAATAACTACAACATAGGAAAAACCACGCGTGCGCCTCAAAGAGCCAATAAACCACCACAGACGGGGCCCTATAGGGCTGATGTTCAGCCGGGATTGCGGGGTAAGCGCAATGAGGCACCGCGACCTCGGACTAGAGCAGGAGAAGGAACAGGGGGTTTTTAGTCTAAGAGTCTGACAGTCCCTCCCGCTCGGCCCTGGGCGGGAGAAGTCATATTTTGATGATTTTTCCCTCACAAAAAACAAAAAAAACATAGGAAAAACCAAAAGAACCAAAAAAATAATAAACCTGAAAAGTGACCTCTATTAAAAATTAACACAACAATAATTATTGACGTCGACAGGATTTGATCCTGCGACCTCCAGTAAGGGATGTTCAAGGTCATAGGTTCAAACGTTTAAATCGAAGTCTAGACTTGATTTAGGTTTTAAATTGAGTGCCCTATTGTTCTCTAGGGATGTAATTTTTCATTCAAAGCTGTATTTGATATTAAAAATAATGTGATATTTAAAAAAGCTTGCCTATTTTGCAAGCTTCAATAAATTCGCCGTATGAATGAGGAGGCCCAGTACGCCCTTCCAGGAGGTTTGGGGATTGAGGATATGGATTGACCCATCTCCCGAATCTCCAAATCTGCTATCCTTAATTCCCAATAAACTACAAAAAGCCGGCACAGCACTTGAGTAATATTTATTTGCCAGTGGCCATGGACGGTGCTGCTTGCTTACCATCAGGTAATTCGTCTGCTCGACCTGTGCTGCTTTGTATTTCACCGTATGAGTCAGGTTACTCCGCCTAAGCCTCCTTCCCCTCCCTATCCCCAAATAACCAATTCTCAAATCCTTATGATGTTGCGGATGTCCATTTGAGTCATTAATTGCTTAACATCAGGTAAAGGAACAACCGATCTTCGTATGATCTTCAAGCCAAGAGAGTTTACCAAGTTCTCCTGAAGGCTTTTACGTCTGGTTGAGGAATCATAGTTTTAAAATAATCAAGTTTATCAGAAATGACTGTGTGACACGATATCATCTCACGCCATATCATCTCTTACGATACCCATAGATGATTAATAACATGTATTCTAGCGTCATCACACGACCAGCAGTCGGGGTTGTGTGGCCAGCGCAATAAGTGACCGCGACCTCGGCCTAGAGCAGGAGAAGGAACTGGAGGTTTTTAGTCAGTGAGAGTCTGATACTGCCTCTCACCTTACCCTGGGCGGCAGAAGTCATTTGATTCCGCCCTCCCAAAAAAAAAACACACGAAAATACCAGAAACAAAATAAATATTCTTGATTTTTTTTTTATTTCATTGAAATAAGAACAAAGCATCGATCGATCGTCGACAGAATTCAAAAAATATTTTTCTAAACTAAATTTCTTTGAAAACTAAACTTCAACTTTGACGTTGAGATATAAGGTTCGATTTCGTTTAAATTGAAGGTTGTACAGCTAATATATTCTGTACATGTAGCGACTATATTCCAAACTGTTTCTATGAATAACTGAGCTTGTCTGTTAGTCCGGAATGGCTTTCGATTTATTTAATTCTGAATACCTGTAGGTAGGTATAATAGTGGGGTTGTATCTTGATACCGCCTCTAGGAATTGTAGGTATGTGTATTTTTGTATACATTTTACAGTCAATTCTTGTATATGAAGAGATTTATTTTATTTATTTCATAGTTCACTTACGTTGGGTAAATAGGCGGACTTGATACCTTAGGCATTTTCTACCAGTCGAGCCTTGGGTGGTGCAGAGATGAGCCAATGGTTGGTGCAACAAGAAGCAAGCAAACAGCAACTATTTTTTTATTATTTACCACTTTATCCTACACTAACTTTTGCCCGCGACTTTTATCGCGTGGAATAGTGACTTCCTGAAGATTTTCGGTTTAAACATCCATTCTATACTATGGCCTTTCTTGAGTCCCAAACTATGTCTGCACCAAATTTAACACAAATAGGTTCAGCAGTTTAGACGTGAAGAAAAGACAGACAGATAGACAGAGTTACTTTATCATTTATAATATTAGTTTGGATTGGAGTCTGTGTTGTGACATAGTTTCGAAACAAAATAGCAATTTAATTAACTAACTAATTCAAAAAGTTAATTGCTTTTAATGATGTTAAGTGATATCAAAATATCTCTTAATTACCTTTCTCGATTTTGTTTGCGTTTATCCGAATGTATGTCCACGCTAAAATTTACTGTATCTTGGGTGTCATTACAAACATACAAAATCACATAAATATTACACCAACCCCCGGATCAATAACTTTTGAATCCCATAAAGTGTTGTGTAAGGTCCAGAAATCAAACCTGCGATACGCACTGTTACATGGCCGATCCCGTTTGTCTTTAAAAAAAAAAACGAAAATACAATTACTGCAAACCACTTTAATAATCACTAATTTAACAACAAAATTTGTCCACTAATGTCTCTTTTAATTACTCAAAATTTAGCAATATGAGTAACGCGGTGGCACCGTGGCGGCGTCCAGAAAAATACATTGTATTTTTTTTTTTTTATGTAATTGGTCGGCAAACGAGCATACGGATTACCTGATGGTAAGCAATCGGCGTCGCCCATGGACACCCGCAACAAAGATGGAGTTACGAGTGCGTTGCCGACCTTTTAAGGATTGGTATTTTGAAGATTTTAGGATTGGGGTAGGGGAAGGATTGGGCCTCCGGTAACTTCACTCACACGGCGAAACACAACGTTGTGGTTGTTTCACGCCGGTTTTCTGTGAGGCCGTGGTATCACTCCGGCCGAGCCGACCCATTCGTGCCGAAGCATGGCTCTCCCACATTTCAACCAATACACACATTTTAACCAATAGCAAGCATTACATAAGGACCATAGAATAAAAATATCAGACTGACAAAAAAGGATGAATTTCCGACAAAAAAAAATACTGATACAGTCTTGTTCAATTTAATGTGCAGACAGACATTTGAATGGGTCCCCGTAGAGCTGTGCTGGCAAATCTATACTGATACATATACATACATTTATGTAGATAACTGTGTATATAAATCGTGTTCCATATCATTAGAGCTTGATTCTCGTGGGATGTTGTCATTGTAGATTTCGGTACGCATTCTTCAATATCATGCCATTATACCTAATCTTTAGTTTTTTGTCTTCAACTATTTCTTCTACCTACTTAGCATGAACCACCTTTTATTTTATACTACATGTGCTGAGACATAGTTATTAGTTCTGTGGATGTTCGAAAACAAGACTGCTCCTACCTACCTAGCTAGCAAACTTACTGCTACCTCATGATGCTTTCTTTTATCTTGTATGGTATCTAAATATACTTGGACATTGTATATATAACTCGGAATACACATATTGGTTCCTCTGGTGCTGCGGGTGTCCATGGGCGGCTATGATCACTTGCCATCAGGTGATCCGTCTGCTAATTTGCCTCCTATTGCATAAAAAACAGAAAGCGGTCACTTTCACTTCCGGGCCACCACGATATTGTTATCTTTAGTGTAAGTTAATTCACGTGCAGCGATGTCTGACCAATGTAAAGTAGGTAAACAAAACAATATTTTTCATCATCATCATCATCATATCAGCCATAGGACGTCCACTGCTGAACATAGGCCTCCCCCATTGACTTCCAGATAGGCCGGTTGGAAGCGACCTGCATCCAGCGGCTTCCTGCGACCTTAATCAGGTCGTCTGTCCACCTTGCGGGTG